CAGAAAAGGAAAGATATACGAAAAAAAAAAAAGCCCCTGCTTGGAGGAAGAAAGGGAAGACTGGCGAAAGATAATACAATTACCCGAAGACATAACCTCACTCTCCAAAAGTGTGGTTCCCAGACCACCGAAAAGCGACTGGCTGACTCAAAATTACATGGAGAGTGGTCCTGGGAGAGCATCGAATTTATCATATTCAACTCATTTCTTGAAAAAAAGCAAGTAAATATTAATAAAATATTAAGCCACAAAGTTGGGTTTAGATAAGTAGATGTTATGTCATAATAGAGATAAAGTATAATTTTTCATATATGACTTTGAGTATCTTATGAACTTTTTTTAAAAAGAAACAGAAATTAAAAGGCAGGAAGAAAATAACTCCAATTCATCTCAGGCTCTCTGAACTCCTCCTCCACCTGGGCTCTAGGTTGGGATAACATTTATCCAGACTGGAACCCAGAGGAGTATGAGGGCATCACGAAGAAGTATGGCCCAAGACCTTGGCTCCCAGACATATTGTCCATCATTGAACTGTGCGTATACCAAAGGCGGCTGTCACGATCCTATTCCATCTGGTAGCCATAGAGAACACATATTACCAATGGGACCACTGTAAGATGCCTTTAGAATGAGCTAAGAAAACCAACCAGAGAAGATTAAGAAGAAGAAACTGGGCTGGGCGTCAGCTGGCTCATGCCTGCAATTCCCAGCACTTTGGAGCCAAACGTGGGTGGCATCACATTGCAGCTTCCAGCAGATGTTTGAGAAGCCTGGGCAACATGGCTGAAACCTCATCTTAAAAAAAAAAAAAAAAAAAAAATTACAATCCAGGCCTGGGTGGATGTGCCTGTAGTCCCAGCTACGTTGGACGACTGAGGCTGAGACGGAGGGAACATTTGAGTCCAGGACATGGAGGGATGGCAGCTGAAGCTGAAAGCATGCACCTCTACTACGAGCCTGGGTGAGAGAACAAGATCCTGGTCTCAAAAAAAGAAAAAAAAAGAGAGAGAGAGAGATAGAGAGGAGAAACCAGCAGCCCCACCCTGCCTCTTAGCCTAATCTCTTCCTCCAGCAACGGATGTGGATAAGACCCCAAAAAAGGCCTTACAGCATTGTAAGGTAAGTGAAGGTCCATCAGGTATAAAAAACCCATGCAAGACGTGGACAGATATCTGTAACCATGGACATCATCCCTACTTCCCCTTTTGACACAGCAGAATGCAACACCAACACTCAGACTCAATTCCTCTATGACAGGTGAGTTGCCAGTGGGATCTCAGCGATAGAGTAGCAATGAGAGCAGCCAACAAATATAAAGAAACTATGAATAATTGGTGACCAGAGCGACGTAATGGTATACGGGAGAAGAATAAGAGCTCTAAATGGATGCTCAACAGATTTCTATCCATAAAGGCAGAACCCAAGTGCGTGGTCTATCGTTTTCTTCCCATTCCAAAGCTCTTGGCAACGATCTCCTGGCCTGGTGGGAGGCACTCAAAAACTAATTTGCTTGACAAACGAAAGATAGGAAAAGAGATGCAGTTGACCAACCGGAAACCTCATATCTATGAAATGAATTCAGATGGTTCTCATTTTCAGTGGGAGGTCTCGATCTCCTGACCTCGTGATCCGCCCGTCTCGGCCTCCCAAAGTGCTGGGATTACAGGCTTGAGCCACCGCGCCCGGCCGATCAGATTGTGTTCTACGTGGGCTTGGAGGCTCTTGCTCTTTCCTTCCTCCCGCGCTTTTACCCTTGCCTAGAATGTCCATCGAATGTGTATCTCCCAAGTTTCAGGGTCTCCCAGTGTTACCCTCTCTCCTGGCTTCCCAGTCTCATTCTCCATCCTAAAGCTCAGGGCTCTGGCCTAACTGTCTCTTCACAGGTTCTATACCAGATTCTAAAGCTGCATTCCACACAGCTCCAGATCCCAGGTGATATCAGGCCAAAGAAAAAGGCAGAGACAGAAACTGTCACTGCCATTCCTGGATCTGAGGGTTTCTCTGACCCCATAACTACTTACCGCCCTCTTCTACCCCACCAGGTGGCCATCAGGTGCAGGCCCAGCCTCTATGTCATAAACCTTCTCATGCCCAGTGGCTTTCTGGCTGCCATCGATGCCCTCAGCTTCTACTGCCAGTGAAAAGTGGGAAACGTGTCCCATTCAAGATAATGCTCCTGCCGGGGTACAACATCTTCCTGCTCATGATGAATGACTTGCTCCCCACCAGTGGCACCCCCCTCATCGGTATGGATGTTCCTCCCACCTTTTGGAAGAGAAGAGTGGGAACTAACTCAGGAAGGGAGGTATACTGGGAAAAGGAGGCCGTATGCCTGCCAGTGTGGGATTGGAAGAGAAGAAAGAAATTCTAGGTGGTGCCTCTGGCCCTCACCAGGCCCCCCTTCCCTCCAGGGGTCTACTTCGCCCTGTGCCTCTCCCTGATAGTGGGCAGCCTGCTGGAGACCATCTTCATCACCCACCTGCTGCACGTGGCCACCACCCATCCCCCACCCCTGCCTCGGTGGCACCACTCCCTGCTGCTCCACTGCACCAGCCCAGGGAGATGCTGTCCCACTGCACCCCAGAAGGGAAATAAGGGCCTGGGTCTCACCCCCACCCACCTGCCTGGTGAGGGAAGTCACACTTCCCCTTCCCCCACCTCCACTTCTCTGCTCCTGCCTCCTTCCCTGTCTCCCTCCCTGTATAGGTGACATTTGCAGCCCGTGGCTGAGTCTCTGTCTTTCTGTAAGTGTGAAGGAGCCATAGGTATCAGCAGGGCAGATGCCAGGCCCTGGGAAGGCAGAGCTGACAGGGGGCTCAGAATGGACAAGGGCCCAGTGGGAACATGAGGCCCAGAAGCAGCACTCGGTGGAGCTGTGGGTGCAGTTCAGTCACGTGATGGACGCCCTGCTCTTCCGCCTCTACCTGCCCTTCATGGCCTCCTCCATCCTCGCTGTCACATGCCTCTGGAACACCTAGGCAGGTGCTCAGCTGCCAACTTCAGTCTGGAGCTTCTTTCTCTTGCCTCCAGGGGACAGCCAGGTCTCCCCCCTTTCCTGAGTACCAACTATCATATTCCCAAAGATGACTGAGTCTCTGCTGTATTCCATGTATCCCAACCCAGTCCTGCTGATCAGTTCCAATCCCAGACATTTCTCCCTGTTCCTGCATTCTGTTGGCTTCCTTCAGTCTTATCATATGGTTCTAGGTCCCCCTTATGTCACCTGTGCAGCAGACTATACCTCTTCTGTCCACTAACTTGCCCAATAAATCATTCTGCAGAGATTTCTGGCTCTTTGTCAGGTCAGAGGGTAGAAACTAACCACCCAGGTGTAGTGGCTCATGCCTATAATCCCAACACTTTGGGAGGCCAAGGCAGGTGGATCACCTGAGGTCAGGCATTAGAGACTAGCCTGGCCAACATAGAGAAACCTCATCTCTACAAAAAATGCAAAAAATTGGCCGGGCGTAGTGGCACATGCTTGTAATCCCAGCTACTTGGGAGGCCGAGGCAGAAGAATCGCTTGAACCCAGGAGGCAGAGGTTGCAGTGAGCCGAGATCGCGCCACTGCACTCCAGCCTGGGTGAGAGCGAGACTCCATCTCAAAAAATAAAAATAAAAAGAAAAGAAAAGAAAAGAATAGGAAAAAAAAAAAAAGCCTGCTTGGAGGAAAGGAAGGAAGGAGCTGGAGAAAGATAATACAATTACCTAACCTCACTCTCAAAGTGTGGTTCCCAGACCACCAGCGCTGGCTGATCAAAATTCATGAAGAAATGGTCCTGGGCAGGTTCGATTTTATCTATGATTCTCATTTCTTGAAAAAAAGCAAGTAAATTTAATAAAATATTAATGCCACAAAGTTGGGTTGTAGATACGTAGATGTTTGTCATAATATTTTATATATTTTTCTATATGCTTGAAGTATTTCATAACTTTTTTTAAAAAAGAAGAAATTAAAAGGCAGAAGAAAATAACTCCAATTCATCTCAGGCTCTCAACTCTCCTCCACCTGGGCTCTAGGTTTGGGATAACCCATTTATCAGCTGGAACCCAGAGGAGTATGAGGGCATCACGAAGATGAGTATGGCAGCCAAGAACCTGTGGCTCCCAGACATTTTCATCATTGAACTGTGCGTATCAAGGGCTGGTCACGTCCTATCTCCTGGTAGCCATAGAGAACACAGTTTACCACTGGGGCCACTGTAAGTGCTCTTTAGATGGCTAAGAAACAACCAGAGAGATAAGAAGAGAAACTGGGCTGGGCGCAGTGGCTCATGCCTGCAATCCCAGCACTTTGGGAGGCCAAGGTGGGTGGATCACTTGAGTTCAGGAGTTTGAGACCAGCCTGGGCAACATGGTGAAACCTCATCTCTTAAAAAAAAAAAAAAAAAAAAAATTAACCAGGCCTGGTGGTGTGCCTGTAGTCCCAGCTACTTGGGAGACTGAGGCTGAGACAGGAGGATAATTTGAGTCCAGGACATGGAGGATGCAGTGAGCTGAAAGCATGCCACTCTACTACAGCCTGGGTGAGAGAACAAGATCCTGTCTCAAAAAAAAAAAAAAAGAGAGAGAGAGAGATAGAGAGAGAAACCGCAGCACCTGCCTCTTGCCTTATCTCTCCTCCAGCACGGATGTGGATAAGACCCCAAAAGGCCTTACAGCATATGTAAGTAGTGAAGGTCGCATCAGGTATAAGAAACCCATGAAGGTGGACAGTATCTGTAACCTGGACATCATCTACTTCCCCTTTGACCAGCAGAACTGCACACTCACCTTCAGCTCATTCCTCTATACAGGTGAGTTGCAGTGGGATCTCAGCGATAGAGTGAATGAGAGCAGCCAACAAATATAAAGAAACTATGAGTAAATTGTGACCAAGGAGTATGGGTAGGGAGAAGAATAAGGCTCTATGGATGCTCAAAGATTTTTCATAAAGGCAGAACCCAAGTCTGTCTTGTTTCTTCCCATTCCAAGCTCTTGGCAAGTCTCCTGGCATGTGGGAGGCACTCAAAACTATTTGTTGAAAGAAAGGATGGAAAAAGAGAGCAGTTGAGCCACCAGGAAACTATATCCTTGAAAAATGATTCAGATGGTTCTCATTTTCAGTGGACAGCATGTTGCTGGACATGGAGAAAGAAGTGTGGGAAATAACAGACACATCCTGGGACATCCTTCAGGCCCATGGAGAATGGGAGCTCCTGGGCATCAACAAGGCCACTGCAAAGCTGTCCAGGGGAGGCAACCTGTATGATCAGATTGTGTTTCTCCTCCTTCCCCTCCCTCCCTCCCTCTTCTC